ATAAAAGCAAAATTATAGTCGACTTTCATAATAAAAAGATTTTTTCCTTTACGGATGATTTTATTTAGTTTTCTATTCAAACTCTGTCTAATGTTCTCTTATTTTTCTTAATTCTTATAAACTAAATCTTATGAATAAAATTCAGAGAAAACAAAAGATTTAATAACAACTTTTCATGGTATCAGAGTCAGGTTCTCTGAACTCTAAAACCCTTTCTTTCCCTCTTGTTGATTACCAGATACGAAATGGTTGTGACAAGAATCGACTCTTTAGAAGTCACATCTCGGTCTGATGAAATTATTTTCATTAAACCATATGAATCGGAAGCCTTTTAAATTTTCGTCACCAGCTACAAATTAAATGGAAGCAATTACATTCAAAATTTTCAATCGGTCAAGATGTTTATCCGTGAAAAAAGGGAGAGAAGATTACCCCACCGGAGAAGTCACCAAACCGAGTGTAAAGACGCAAAATTTCAAATTTAGAAGGTCGATAATAATCTAGTCATGTCATGGCTGATTAACTTCATAATAAATGATATAAGTGAGAATTTCTTGTTGTACAGGACAACACATGAAATGGGAAAGCAGTTAAGGAATTCTACTCGAGCAAGGAAAACATATTAGAAATCTTTTTTCATTGAATTTAGCCTCCACAACTTGTGGTAAGAAGATCTATCTGTAAACTAATACTACTGTATCCGTGACCGCTATAGGAAATCAGGTCATACTCGTGACAATCATTGAAAAATTCATAGAAAACTAGTTGGTTTGAAATCTACAAAATTGGCCATGAAGAAAGAAAGGAAAATCATGTCTCTATTGATGAAACTATCTCTACTAAGGAATCATGTTGATTTAGCAAAGAGCAGATAGAAGACCTCCAAAAAATGTTCTAACAAAATTCTGGCAATAATAACATAGGAGTTGGGACAACAACCATAAAAGGTAATTTTTTTCATACTTTCAAATGCTATTTCAGAAAATCAAGATACTTGAATCATTGAATCAGGGGCACTTGACCACATGAAAAGAAATAAATTTTGTTCTAAGAATATATAATTCATGAAGAAAGAAGGAAAATCAAGCTCTTATTGATGAAATTGTCTTCACTAAGAAATCATGTCGATTTAGTAAAGAAAATATAGAGGTCCTCAAAAAAATGGTCGTCTATCAAAATTTCGTCAATAACAACATAGGAGTTGAGACACAACTGAAAAAATGTAATTTTTTTATTGTTCCTAATGCTATTTCAAGAAGTCATTATACTTAGATTATTGACTCTAGAGCATCCAACCATGTGAAGGGAAATAAAATTTTGTTCTAAGGATAGAATTTGTGATATGAGAACCTCACCATAAAAATGACATACGAATCTCATTTAAGAGTGACCAGAATGGGTGGTACCTCCATTTCAAAGGAGCTAACCTTAAAGGGAGTGCTTCATTGTACCTAATTTTGATTAAAACTTGTGATCAGTAAACAAACTTACCCAAAATCATAACTATATTGTTAAATTTTTCTTAACTTAATGAATTTCAGAATTTGGATTCAAGGAGGACGATTAGAAATGCCGAGTAGTACTCTAAGCTCTTTTTCTTTAAGGATAGTAGACCTTTCAAGAAAACTATCCTGTAACGTGGTATGTGTTGAGTCTTAAGAGAGTTCAACTCACGTAGATAATCTTAGTACAATTATGTTATGATATTATCAATTGGGATACACAAACTTTGTATACCTTATTAAGTTGTTCCATTATTCATTCAAAAATAAACACTCAAAAAACTTCTATTTTGAAGTATGTCAATTGTCAAAATATACCTATAATATATATTTCATGTCCTACAAAGTCTTTAAACCATTTGCTATAGTACATAATGATGTTTGGGACCATCTAGAATTAACAATATCACTGGTGCTTGATGATTTTTATCATTTGTAGATGATCATACAAGAATTACATAACTATTCTTTGTGAAAGGAAAATTAGAAAGTTGGCCATATATTTCGAAAATTCAACATGGTTCGAATTCAATTCCAAATAAAAATGCAAGTATCGGAAACAAACAATGCAAAAGAATACTTTGAAAAAGAGTTGGGTATGTATCTTGAAAAAGAAGAGATTGTTCATTAA